AGACAGACAGACAGACAGACAGACAGACAGGCAGACAGGCAGACAGACAGACAGACAGACAGACAGACAGACAGACATAGAGCGGGGTTGCATGAAAAAAGGGAGTGGGGTGGTAGAACGAACAGGTGGAAGTTTTAAAAAATGAAGAGAGAAGGCGTGAGGGCGGGGAAGGGGAGATAACGGAAGAGAAATAGGGGAAAGGAGGAATCAGATGTGAGGAATTGATGGGAGGTATCGAGGTATATTTGATGAAATAGATACGCTCTCCTCGCGAAATGAAGTCGGTTTATGTTGTGAAAATAAAAAGACGCGCGATTGAGATAAGATGGATGAGGTTGAGTTCACTTCGCGAGTGAAGAAAAGTAAAGAGTGGTCGATGTCCTTTCATTTATTCAGGTTTGCTAAGGCTGCTTGGGAATTTTGACTTCTCTTATTTATGATATAATGTGCGGCCATTTTATAAAGCTGTCCAAAAGAAAAAGATTTCCTAACTTTTAGGAAGCAGGGAGGAGACAATTTCTGTCATTGGGAATGAAATACGCTATCGTGCTCCATTTAGAGTTAAAAGTATACAGGACTGATTTTTCAACACAGACTGTCACTGTCAGAACCTCTCTGGCCTGTGTGGAAACAACCCGGCAAAAAGACGGGGGTACTGGCAAATGTTTCCTCTTCATATTATGGGAATCAAACTCACGCCCTTTACCTGCAAGACGAAAAAACCTAAAGATTACACCACAGACGGCGGAGCAGAGTTTGTGAAAAGCGTAAAACTTGTCATTAGTGAGAGCAGTGGGGCGGGGCATTATCCCGCGGCGGCGTCAGAGAGGGAGAGTTTGTCCTGTCACCACACAACTCGGGGCCAACTCATCGCATTTGCTGTACCTTATTCTCTACCTCCCTGATGAACCAATAGTGTGCGGTTGTTGAGAGTAAATACGTTTGTATTGTTTGTAGAATGTGGTATTCTTTTCTTCAAATGAATTGCCTGAAGGTGTATCGCGACCACTCATATTTTTTTAGTGTCACGGTTGGCTGAAGTCGGGAGAAAATGAGGCTCAAGTTGGAATACATAATTTCGTATTTTTTTGTTTCTGGAGATAGATCACTGTGGCTCTGAACTACCCCCATGTTTGCCCAGTAGAGTAAAACCGCTGGAGGGTGAAAAAGAAAGCTCTCCCTCCGCAGTGAGAAAGTTCTATCTACTTATCTATGTTGTTGTAGATGTGGTCTTTTGAGTTGGGGCAGGCTGAAGGAAAATACGTAAATGTACTGGCTCTGACAGGACGGAGCGCGGACAGACAATGTGCGGCCAAGCTGTCGTAGTTACACCAAAGACAAATAAGAAAAGGAATTTGAAAAATTAGAAGCGAGTGACAGGCGGCTTCGTCCGTGTACTTTTCAAGTCAGGATCGTCCGAGTAGAATGGACAGGAAATGAGATGAGCAAACAGTTTATGGGTGGTGCACTATTTATGTCTACTTTATAGAACTACCTCTGCCTGTCTGTCCCTCTCTGTTTGTCTCTCGCTGTCTCCCTCTCCCTCT